TGTTAAGTTATTTTTGTTAATGTAGAAGTGATCTAGATTTGTGGGTAGGAAATGTTGTATATGTTATTAAATTAAATGTGGGTTTTAAGGATTTAAATATTAATTTGGTGATTTTAGGAATGCATTCATATATATATGTTCTAAATTTTAGATTATTTTAAGAAAGTTTTGTATAATTTATAATTAAATATTGTTCTTGTAATTTTTTTATGAGAATAATTAGGTACAGATACAATTTTAGGCTTAGATTTGGTAACTGATAATAATAAGAAAATTAATAACAATGATTATCAAATATATCGGAGCATAATTAATTTAATTTGTAAAGTTGTATTCTTATTTTATATTCTCAAGAATAAGAAAAATGTTTAATATATATAAAATTGAAAATATGTTAAAATATATTAAATTTGAACAATTGAATTTAGAATTCATTTGTATATAGTTAAGTGTTAAAATTAATGTATACTAAAAATAAAGATAACCTAAGATAAAATATCATTGACAGTACACACCTGCTTAGACAGAAAAAAAAACAAATGTGTCCTTCCACATGAATAAAATAATTACAAAATATACTAAATAAAAACAATAGAATCCTAATCTCCTAATCATACCAACTTAAAATACATTCTAACCATCTAAACCCTATAATAAATAACCTATTCCCAATACCATTTAAAAAACCTTGTTTCGCATATTTAAAACCAATACTAACGATTAAGATAAAGAAAAAACGTTACACCTGTCGTATTATCAAGACCAGTTCGGAATAAAAGAATTGTATTTGATCAAAAAGAAAAAGATCTTACGAGTAGACAAGAAAAAACAATACCGCTGACAAAGATAGAGATAGAAAAAAGGAAGACAACGTGCGTCACGTCACAAAATGATGCACCCGTCCTGCATTATCGAGGAACATACGAATCAAACAATCGAATCCATCCCAATGCCAGACGCGTCCGTTAATAAAGTATAATAGGCACACGGTGCTCTTCCGTACGAAAGTTGAAAGAGAAATAAGGGGTAAGGGGGGTAAGGATGAGAGGGGTTGAGATGAGGAGAGGTAAAACGTGGGTTAGGGAATTGTACACCTGACCCATCGAATACAATAGCCATGTACTACGTTTCAGGCACGGATCACGTATGTAAGTATATGCTTATTTACGTAGTCCACGTGTGTGAACGGTTAAAAGTCGAATACGGGCTCGTAAACTATCAAAGAAAAACGAAGGTGAACTTTTCTCTCTCTTTCTCTATGCTTTGTGACTTCTGACACCGGTTTGTAAACTATTATAAAAGGTGCTTTGTAAGATGGTTGGTAACACAACGTGCCACAAATAACCAATCGATTCCTTTGTGCCGAATAATATACTTACCACTGTAGTTGAATTCGACCATTTGTCTTCTTCCTTTTATTCGATCGAACAATCGAGAATTTGTCCGAATTTTTTTGGCTACTTTGTTTAGGATTCAAAAGTAATGATAGGTATTATACGATAATGTGAACAATGAGATGGGTCATTGTATTACTTAGTCAAAGTAAAATTTAAAGAAATTATTAGTAAGACAATGGTAGTATTTTTTTTATTGTGAAATGGTAAATAATAAATAATCTTAATAGATTAATTTATTATTAATTTATTATTTTTTTATATAAAGAAATATTAATTTATAATATATATATTATTGAAATTTATATAGGTTAACTCGGTAGTTCCTAAAATATACACTGCGGCGCTTTTACAGTTTTTAGATTATAAATACAATTCTTCATTGTACATATCAATTGCAATAAATTATTGTTAAACAAAAATGTAAAAAATTAATAATAATAATTAAAAAATAATAGAATGTTATAACAATGTAATATATACCAGAAAATACAAAATAATTGATAAATAATTTGAATTTTTGTCAACAATTATAACAAACTTTCTTTTTTTCTGCTGTTTCATAAAAGTTAGCAACGTAAGAAAATAAGAAAAATGACGTTCAACAATGTTATCGAAACAAGATTGGAATTGGTAAGGGTTTGCACATAAACGATCAATCAATCTCCCAGTTAACTTAATCGTATTCGACTAAATTCACTCTTTCCCGATTTGAATGCCGGGTAATTGTTCGATTTATTTATTCTGAAGGAAGAATGGACACTGTTGAAGGAAGGAAAGACTAAGGGAGAACGAACGTTGATCAGCTTTGGTGTTGATTTAATTACCGAGGAAGTAATTGGCATGCGTACTGACGTAAAACCCCAAACTCATCACCCCTTTTTTCCCTCCTTCGTCTTTTAATTTATTTCTTATCTACCACCGTCCACCCCCACCATCTTCTAATTTTTTTTAGAATTAAATATTATTTGCAATGCGATGTTGATATTTTTAAGGTAAGGTTTTGTTCAAAATGAACAAAAACGATCTTTTCGTTTGTTCGTTGCTGATGTATGTCCATTTAAATCGATTGTAAAAGGTTGAATCAATGATATGAAATAAAATTTGTTTAATTTTTGCATTAAAATACGAAGAAACTTATTTTCCAATCAAGATGACAATTACCATAGCTAGTAAATGCAACAGATGACACAATAAACCATTTAACATTCTTTCTACATCATAAAAATCGCAAAGGGTAATAAATTATCAAGAGAAACTAATAATAACAACCGTAATCTTTAGTATCTAGTCATCAAAAAATGTATACAGTAGGATTTTGGAAATTTGGTGTCCAAGTTTCGTGTGCATGTGAAGAACAGATATCACATTGAGTTACGAGCACAACACCTCAGTTGATAATGACAAAGGTGTGTGCTGTTAGCCCCTGAAGCTTTGGAAATATAATTACAGTGTGGCTTACCGTAGCCCCTCGGATCAGACCGTTATTACACGCACGGTGGAACTTAACACCTGCGGTGTTGTAAATTCGCCGTTTTCGCGTTCCACTATTGACAGGTCAATAAATCTGAGGTAGCCCCTGTTTGCAATCAGGCTTCGAACTCGGTACGTGTTTCGTGAGTTACCAATACTCGATGCGTGAAGTGGATCCTAAAAGCTACCTAACCTTTATCGGTTAAACAACTTAAGGAAAAAACATTCCTAAATCTTTTCAATTTCCTACTTTCTCATTTGTTAATAATTATTTCATAGAAATAGCTGTAATTATATTATGTGTAACCCATCAGGAAGAAATAATTAACATATTTCTAAGAAATAATTTATTATTTTAGATTAGGATTTGTGTAAATTCAAAGTATTGATATTTTAAAACTAAATAATGCCAAAACATTCTAACGATACATTGATAATAACTAAAAAAATTAAATAAAAAACTATTTCTATGATTTTTTCAATTAAATATCTTTTCATTGACTCAATTTCAGATCATTCAGTAACATTAATCTAAAAACTAAATAAAATAAATCAATTAACACGATGAACAGCCCGTGTCGGCAACACGAATTTGTTATCATACGTTTACATATTATCTTAACAAATTACTTACAATAGATAAGTTAAAGCGTGCAATCATGTGCAATGCATTTCTCTAATTGTGATAAGAAGGGGTCACCGGTGATTCCCACGGCTTCAACGTGTTCAAAATAATACCTAAGATTGAATTTACTAATGAGTCTAATCAAATCTTGAGAATCTATTTTTAGACGAAATCTTCAATGGAAAGTTAAAGGTCTAGAAATCTAAAGGAAAGAATGAAACTTAGCGGGTTACGTTTGTGTGAGTCAGTACGAGAGTAACAGGATGAGAAGAGGAAATAAGGGAAGGGAAGAGAGAAAGAGAGAGAGAGAGAGAGAAAGTGTGTGTGTGTGTATGAGAGAGATAGTTTGACCGCATGGGGGCCGCGCGTTGAATTCATTCCGTCGGACAAGCTTGCCCCATACCAAACTCTCCCAGCCACGTCGGCCTCATCCCTTGGGATAAATTGGCCGAACCCGCGTGTTTGCGGATAACATCGCCGCGATATACGTTCGTCTACTACGACCTACGATGGCCCTTTTTCTGCCCGAGAATTTCTACCTTTTCGTGAAAATTATTTAACGAATTTCACTCTTCTTTATGCATTAGAAATAAACTATAACCTAAAAGTTAAGAATAACTTAGCGATTTTTGTAAAAATCTAACATATCGATCAATTTTGAAATGATTTATTGTTGTTTTATGCGATATTAACAAATTAATTGATGTTTTAAGAAATTTCAGCATTTTTTATGTCAATAATGTTCTTATACCGTTTGAACACCCGGTATTGACTCGGAATGAACTTTCCTCCAATGGAACATTTTTGGTAACATTTACAATAATCATTTAGAAATACTTTTTTATGAAATTAAAGCTTCGAAAAAAGCTCAAATGTTAATTATTACTTTCTGTAATAGACAACGAAATATTTCGCATGGTTTTTAATAATTTACGATATTTATTTGCTGAGATATTATAGTGTTGAATATTTAAGTGATGTTCAATGTTAAAAATAGTTCGGCAAATTTACGCTAGATAGCGCATAGTTGTCTCTAATAATAACCTTAAAAAATATAATCTTAAGAACGAGTTATTAACTTCCTGATAAACAAGAATTTCTTGTAAATTAAAAGAATTTAATTGCTGTGTATTGGAATATATTTGATAAAAGATACGTGGAATCAATATTTCTAAGTAATCAATTAATTGCTGATATTTTTAAAATATAAAATTAAAATTTTTAAAATGAAATGTGTCTTGATTTATTGGCCTCCAATAATGAAGAGTAATATGACGTTCATATAAAGTCGTAAAAAAAGAAAAGGATAGAAAAAAATCAATTAAATATTTGTTACCGATGTAAAGTAAATTTTATACTTATACTTTTTATCATTAAAATTTACAATAAAAAAAAATATTAAAAAAACGATAAAGCATACACATTGTATAAACATTGTGCAAAAAAGAATATACCTCTAACTTATGTTTATAAATAATATAAATAAATAATTTTTTAAATGATTTTAGTTAAGATTTCATGTTACCCTAATTTTTATAAAAATTTCTAAAATAATTAATTTTCACAATAAATAATATATTCAAGTAAATGTCACTTACTTTACTATCCCCTGTTTGAATCATAAATAGTTTTATTAATTTTCCTAAATTTGAAATAAAAATTGTTAACCAATTTAGGTTATGAATTAGATTTTAACGTGAAATACAAAACTGAAGGGTTGTGGGAAGGAGCCCATATGAAACCACCCTTCTTTCGACATTAATTTCTAGTGATATTCGATCCTTGAAATTGTCGACACCATAAAATAAAGATAATCCTACCTTTAATCCAGTAAGACGTGGTTCCACAGCAGCCAATTTCGCCATTTCGTGATAATCTCCTTGAGCAGCTTTCACCAACCATTCTCGTGATTTTCCATCTAATTGCTATGGAAATAGAAAGGAAAGTTTCAAACGATGCATATCGATAGATCGCCTTCGATCCAAACAATTTATACTTTCAAACTCGAATCTTTGGAAAATAATAGAAAGGACGATCTCGAGAAAGTGAAACTTTCATTGTCGAGTGTAAATCGAAGACGCGTAACTCGTATAACAAATTATAATACGATAATAAACTTACCCATGCAACGGAAGCACTGTCTTCTTCGTCCGCACCCTATAGAAAAACAAAAAGAAAAATCAAAAAATTAATCAGTTCGTTGAAAAACAAACAAAAAACAATCAATTTTTATTCGAACACTTTTCGATGTTTTTGTTTGCTCGAAACGTAAATATAAAATTGATCGAATACAAATTCTCTTTCTCATTTTATCGAATTGATTCAACGGCATTAAAAATAAATACAAATAAAAACAAAAAAAAACAGATATAGAATTAAAGGTTTGTTCGTTGATTGATTTCAAAAAGAAAAAAACAAAACGAGTCATTTTCAATTCGGATGTTGTACTGTTGTATTATCCGATTCATAACAAAATTCTAAACATTTTCTTTCTCGTATTGGCTAAACGTTAGGGAAAATGATTGATAAACAAGACAAGAAAGAAAATGATGATAAAAACATTGAGATGCCGCATAATAGCAGTAACGTGATCTAGCCATTTAATTGATATACGAAAGCAATAATTGATTCTCCGACGCAAAACCCTCAATACTTGTTGCGAATGCTTACATAATCAGTGCAGATGACGATGAACCGGTCAGACAACCTTTTCTTTTCTAGAATCCTATAATCCAACAATTTACGTGCGTAAAAGCGGTGAGAAGGCACGTAGCATGGACGTGCCTCAACCATCAAATTGATATACGAATCAAATAATTGATTCCATCACACAATGCTCCCCCCAATGCATGTTGCGAATGTTTACGTAACTATAGTCAATGACAATGCACTCGACCAATCATTTTGTTTTCAACGATTATACATATCTGTTGATTTATTTTTCAAAAATAAATTTAAAGTAATATTATTTTTAATTTATTTTATATTGTCGAGTTAATTATAATATACAACAAATATGTTAATAATAATTAAACTTATTGTTAGTTATGCAGAAATGTAGATTTGATATTGAATCATTTGTTATTTAATAATAATAGTCATTTTATTATTATTCAGTATTCGATTATATTATATTTCTTGTTACAGTGGTATTGTCAATTAGTTTAAACTGAAACGATGATATAGTAGTTTTAATAATTTTAAAATTTAATAGTTATTACTGTTAATACTGTGTTTCATTAAATTTTTGATATCTTAAAGATTAATAAATTTCTGCATATCTCTCTAAACTAAATTATATTAATTTTCCTTCAAAATTATACAAAATAAAGACTGTTAATAATGTATTTACTACATAATATCTAAATAACGTATTATAATTTTAATAAAACATAATCTTTTACCAAAAAACATGAAACCTTGATAGATTTAATTATTGAATCACAGCAAATCCAATTTGTCAATTGCAACATTGTTAAACCTTGATTTTACAAATAGTTTTCTTTTTCAATTTCTTCACGTTAAGTAAAATATAATTTAGATAAATTATACAGAAAGCTACCAATTGAATGTTAAATGCTAATATTTTGTAATATAAAGATAACCAAATCATGAGTTCAAACAATATTCATTTCCTTATAAAATTAGAAGAAACTAAGATTAATATTAATTACATAATATTTCATGAGTATTCTATTATGTCAGTCAATCTTATTGCTTTACTATCATTACATAAAACATGTACCCTAATCATTGAATCATAGCAAGTTCAATATGTTTGATGCACCATTATTAAACCTTGATATCAGACACAACTATTACTTTTCCAATTTTCTTAATATATTAATTAAAATATAATTAGCCTAAGTTATTTAGAAAGCTAAAGATTGAGTCAATTTCAATAAATAGCTAGTATTTTGAAAAATCAAATAATAATTACTTTCTTTGAAAATAAGAAAAAAAAATGAAGACTAGTATTAATTACATAATACTTCAAAATGATACTACTTTTTCAATCAATCAGATTTCCTTACAAGCCATCATAAAAAAAAGAAACCTTCATCAACCCTAATCATTGAATTATAGCAAGTTCAATATGTCTAATGCAACATTGCTAAAGCTTGATCTCATATAATATAATGTCGTCGTTCGTTTGAGAAGAGCATCACCACCAGTTATAGCTTATCTGTGACGTGGGTAAAGTAAGAAAGAATGAAGAGGAAGAAGGAATGAGAGACAGAGGAGGAAGAAGAAGAAGAAGAAGAAGAAGAAGAAGAAGAAGAAGAATAAGAAGAAGGAGGAGGTGGAGGAGTACGAAGAGGTGGAACAGAAGAAGAAGGAGTTGAAGGAAAGGAAGATGGGGAATAAGGAGGAAGAGAGGAAGGATTTCTGATCCCAGAAACGTTAAACGACTACTCATCCCTGTTAAACCGTTTGTATTTTCACTCGTCACGGCTACGTCGGATTTTGGAGGTGCTCATATCGACACTCGGGACCAGAATCGATCGTGACTCCTCGTAAATTACATCCCCCAAGGTAGAAACACGATAGATGGTTAGAATTTGGCCAAGTCATCATTAGCTGAAGAGCCCCCGATATCTCTATCGATCGACACCACTACGCGTGTCCTTAAGTGAAATCTCCAATCGGTTGGAGAAGCCTGCTAGTTGATTGAACCGTAATCAAACGGGTCATTGATTTTTATGAATTCCTCCTTTCCAATAGGGGGGAATACTTATAGATTAGTTTGTCAGATTAGTTAGATAAAAAACGATATATTTTCTATGACGAATAAATATTTATTAATGTGTAAGTTAATGTTCTTTATGAGAACCACTGACCCCCCGTAGCGTCAGGTGGTGCACCGAGGTGCGTTCCCAGCTTTCGTGTGCTATGTGCCCTTGCTTCTCCTCCTACTACTCCTCATCCTCTTCCCTATTTCTTCTTTCCTTATCCCACATTGATACGTAGGGATATATGTATGTATGCACTTATGTGAATGTATATACATTTTAATATCGAATTAAAATGGTATTTATGATATGCATGTTTGCAGAATGTAACGATACTCATTCCATTGTTGGAATTCGTAATCTTTATTGTTTGGGTTATAAGATTAGATTCGTTTAGGCTTACTATGATGTATTAAATAGTTGTGTCATTTGAATTCTCTGTTTTAATATGAGTCATCAATGTTGAAAGTATATAGACTAATATCAGAGAATGCAATGCTGTAAATTGTTCATCTTTGAAATTTCTTTGAAAAGTTTCGATAAATATTTTTTATACTTTCAGCAAATGGATTTTAATGATTTTTATATTAAATTAGAGTACAATCTTTTGTCTACGCGTAGAATACTATATCGAGTTATAAATTTAGCATGTAAAGTTCATAAAATGTTAGAGAATGCAATGCTGTAAATTGTGCATCTTTGCAATTTCTTTGAGAAGTTTTGGTAAATATTTTTTATACTAAAAGTGAATAGATTTTAATGAAACTTATATTAAATTAAAGTACACTCTTTTGTCTGATTTCCGGCTTTGACGGTAACATATACATGTTTGTAGAATTTAAAGATATTATTTTTGAGTGTTGGATTTAATCTTGTATTTTCTTTGGTAACAAAATAAGAGTTACTTCACTATGTATACCTAAATTTATTATAATTAGTTAAACTAAACATACTCAAATATAACTTTCAAACTAAACACTGACACTATAAAGTTATACTAAACCTCGTTTTTCTCAAAGAATTTCATAAAAATCTGACAGAAAATAAAAGAGCCAATAATCTTGATATACCCCAAATTCACACAAGTTAAATTACTTATAACTTTATGCAACTTAATTTATATTAATAATATTAATCACCTATACTCAAAAAGAAGTTTTCAAAATGCGAACACATACACGAACAAACAATTGTACAAAATCAAAAAGTGACTATAATAAAGAAGTCAATGACACTTTAAAATCAGATGCACATAAATTTAACGAAGACCAATAAGAAATTAATTGGATGAAATAAAATAAGGAAAAGATTATGTGAAATAAAAGATAGTAACTGAGAGTCGCTGATTGATTTTTAAACGATTTCAAGATGCGAGCAGAAAGATCTTCGATGGGATCGCCGAGAGGACACTTGTTTGCTCGTATCTCCACTGAGAGATATGCAAATGGTTCTGGTATCCTCCTCTCATTTTCTTTCTCTCCTTTTCTATCTCTTCCTCTTTTTCTCTCTCTCTTTCTCTTTCTATATCCTGGCACGGGGGCTTCGCGAACGAGCAGACAAACGGACCAGTCAGCGACGCTCAAGCCATGAAGCCGTGGAACATAATGGCGTGGTTATCAGATAAGCTTATAGGACGGAGTTAATCGTAATGGCATCGCAGTGGTGGTTCCTTCGGGTTCCATTCGCGAGAAGTCGAGAAAGTAAAAGACGGTAAATGATGAGAAAGAAGAAAATGAAGTAGAAGAACTAAAGGAACAGGAACAAGAAGAAGAAAAGTGGAGAAGTTAGTGCAACAATTGGTAGAAAAATAAGTGGAATGGGTGATAAAGAAAGAGGTTGTTGAACCAGTTGGTAGAGAAATAAATGAGTAAGTTTGTTAAAGAATAAATGGAAGGGTTGGCAAAGGAAAAGGTAGGACAGTGGGAAGAATTGGTGGTAGAGAAATAAATGAGTAAGTTGGTTAAAGAATAAATGGAAGGGTTGATAAAGGAAAAGATTGAACAGTTGAAAAAGTTGGTAAAAGGAAAGGTGAACCTATTGGTAGAGAAATAAGTGGAAGAATTGTTAAATGAACAAAAGTATAAGAATTTGTATAGAAATAATTAGAAGACTTGGTAAAATAATTAATTGTTAGTGAAGGAAAAGGTTAAACTAGTTGGTAGAGAAATAAGTGTATAAGTTGGTAAAGAAATAAATGGAAGAGTTAATAAAAGAAAAGATATACCAAAGGGAAGAATTGGTAAAGAAATAAGTGAATAAGTTGGTAAAGAAATAAATGGAAATGTTGGTAAAGGAAAAGATTGAACAGTTGAAAGTGTTGATAAAAGAAAAGGTTAACCAGTTGATAAAGAAAATAAGTAGAGGAATCGACAAATGGAACAAAGGTATAAGAAATATAAGAATTTGTAGAACAAGAAATAGAAA